TATCCAAAGCCCTAAAGTTTAATACTGTGTTAATGTTGTCAGTATCCAGCAGAGGGCCGGATACTTACCTTAAAAGGTAAATTTCTAGAATAAATAATAATTAAAACCATGTAACTCTCAAGGGATTATTGTATAAAATTCCACAAGACTTAGTTTGATATATTTTAATTTGAAGCCACTGACAAAAATATTTTATACTGAATAAGAATCTCTTGTTTCAACATAAAGGCCCAGAGTATTGTAGCCAGTGGTAAGGATTGTAAGAATTACAGTTCAACAATTCCATAGGTTCATCATCCTTGATCTACAGCTTTGAGTTTGGGTGATATCAATATACTACTGACACTTAAGTTTCATGAACATTTGCAAAGATGGTTGGAATTTGCCAGCTATGGTTTCAACTATGTTTGGAGGCTATGATCCAGGGAATAAAGGAAAAGAAAATTATTACAGAACGAAGTTAAGTAGAATCTTGACTTCAGAAATTAAAATACAGAAATATATATTATAATGACATTTTTCTTAAGAAGATACCTTTTTTTTTTTGAGAAGTATTTAAATTGATGATGCTATCCTGGTAAACTTTAGTAAATGCCTGATAAGCTTATCTCCAGAGCCTGCTGTGGGAAACCAGACTCCTGTGTCTTGAACAAAATAGACCAGATCACGTGTATGCAGACCCTTTCTGTGAATATCCAGACCTCTAGTTCTAGAGGTGTACCCCACCACTTCTTATTCAGAACAGTTTCTGAACTGTTTTGTGCTGATTTTAGTTCCAAAGTTGCAAGAGCTATTCCACACCAGCTTCCCGGAAGTGTCCAGGTTCTCTTGGTTAAAGCCATTCTAATGAATTGGAGAATCTCTTCAAATCAATTCTCTTTAATTTATGTAATTATTTATTTACTGTTTTTTTGTATACTGTCTCAATCATTAGCTTTGTGATAGGTGCATAACACAACAGAACATGATATAAAATAATATTTAACATAATAAGAGTTATCCATCAATCGTGCTGAAGACTATAATGGAATAATAGGAATAATATGTAATAATATAATAAAATGTAAAAAAGGAATAATATAAATAATAGGAATAATATTGTGGGATCAAAATGGGAGTAATATAATGGAATAATAGGAATAAAGATAAGACTGGCCCCCACCTTGATACTCTTCCGAAAGGCCCTGAAAACATGGTTTTGCCAGTGGGCCTAGGAATCCCAGGTTGATATGGAGCCCATCAAATGGCTACTTTGAATGTATTGTTGCCATGGGGGGAGGGGGGAGTGTAGTACATTTTGTATTTGGGGTTTGATTTTTTGTAAGCCACCCAGAGTCACTGTCTGTGAGTTGGGCAGCTATATAAATTTGTTTAATAAGTAAGTCATCAGGGCCTTCCTAAATGAAAGCAGATTCTGCACCAGCCTTACAGAAGCAGAGTATTCCAGTGTGTGTAAGCTATTACCAAAAAGGCCTATTGTCTTGTCCTGTCCCATTGGATCTTGGGGGGCAGAGGGGAGAGGGAGAGAGAGGGGGAGATTCTTAATATGCCCTGTCTCAATGACTGGATTGGAAGGGCAGAACCAATTGGTAAAGTTGAATAGGTAATGACCTATTAAATTGAACTGGACCTTAAAGTTTACTGGCAACTAATTCAGCAACCCAAAAAGGTATAGTCCTGTAATAGTGAATGAATTTCCCCAGGTCGCATTTGGCCACTGCATTCTAGGTCAGTTATATCTTCCAAGTTGTATTCAAAGGCAGCCCCATGTAGAGCAATCTTGTCAAATGCCTGAGTCATCACCTTTTGCCAATGGCTAACCAGGCACTTGGCAGAACTGCCCACAAGATCATTGGAAAAATCCCCAAGTGCCCAGTGGAAATCGTCCACATCCATAAGGTACCTGGGTCAGACCTTCTTAATCAGTGCAATTGCCATATAGAGGTCATGGGTGGTAATCCTATCTGGACCAGTGAGTGATCAAACCATGGCAAAGGGCTAATGGAGATGCCATCCATATCTGGATCACTGACCATTTGCTTCAAGACAAAAGCAAGGCCTAGATTGTGCTCACTTAAATGTATTCAGTCACAGATGTTTTGGGAGAAGCCTGTGAACTTATAAGCATGACTGAAATCAGACACAGGAGCAAGGAGATTGAAGCCACCCAAAGCTAAAAGATAAGGGAACTTCAATATCAGCTTTAAGCCCAAATCAAGAAGCTCAGAGAAGGCACTTGCTGGGCAGCAGAGCAGCTGCTACAGCAGCAGGATACTCTGTTTCCACAGACAAGATGTAGGAATTCATACCCAACTAATTCTGGGGCAGAGTCTCCAGTCCCAGGCATGTTGTCTTTAAAGATATCCTGCCTGCCCACCCCTCCAGCCCTGGTGTTGAGGCTGCTGAAGGACGTGAAATCCAGGAGAGTAGGTTTCTGAGAGAGCCACATCAGGGTCCTTGCCCAACCAAGTTTCAGTAACGCATGCCAGGTCTGCATTCTCATCCATAAACAAGCCATGGACAAAAAAGGTTTTATACAAACAGATCTGGCATTAACCTTTAAGAGTCTGTGGCCAGGACCCTATCTTGCCAGTGGGTGCCAGGAGTGAGGAAAATGGGTTAGAAATAGATCAATTACATTGGAAGTCCCTCTTCCTCTGAAATGGCAAATGCTATCCTGTCATTTGTCCTTTGACCGACTACATGTGAAATATATCTACCTTCCTGTCCATTAACAACAAACCCTAGGCTCCTACTACTAAATTCCATCATGCCTCTACCCCCTGAAAGTGTGTGCCACCAATATGACTTGTGCCACTGCCACTAATAACCCACGCTATCAAAACTCTTATCAGCACCCATCCACAACCTGTTTGATCCCCTAAAGAACCATGAGGAATTAAGACTGGCAGAACACATTCTTCACCTGTAACACATCTGATAATTAAGGAGCTTAAAACCATTTCAGGCCTCAGTGGGAGTACAAATTACATTAATGCTTATTCCAATTTCTAGAATGGGACATCTGCAATTTAGCTTTCCGAATTGCTTTCTCAGCAACTTCTTTTTCTGATTATTTTAACATTCTATTACTACTATATTAGAACTGGCACCTGAATTTACTTTCCTTTTTCAGTCTCATACTATTTCTGTCTTGTGTTTTGTTCAGATACAGAGCCAGGCTTCATTGATGAGCCAGAGGTTCAAGGGACATTAGAAAGCAGCACCTTCTGCTTCCTGTGTTGCCTTTAAAACTTAGGCACCTGAGTAGTATGGAGCTGGAAAGAACCTAGCCCTCGAATTTGAGAAAGAAACACTATACCTTTGCAATGTGGCTTTTTCACACCCCTGACAATATGAACCACAAATACTTCAGGCAAAGCAAAAAGCATTTGCGGGGGTGGGGGGGTGGGGGATCTAGTCTTTATATAGGGTACAGAATCACATACATTCAATATTTGTGTTAGATGCATCATGAAGCAATGAATTAAACAATAGAAGACAAGTGACAAATTCATGGGTTACATCCCTCCCTTTCTCACCTGGATCTGGATCTTTCTTAACACTTGCTAATGTATTCAAGGACTTCAAAATACACTCCTATTGGTTCATTTCTGGAAAGGCTAGTTCTTTGAACATCAAGGGAATGGCCTTTGGCTGAAAAACTGGTTTCCTAAAGTTAAAAAAAAGGCCTAGACTGCCGTGCTAAACTGCTAATATCATCTTTTAAAATGCTAATAATGAA